CTAACGAACTGCAACATCATGACCTGAGCTGAAGAAGCCAGACACTTAACGTACTGAGCTACCCATGTACCCCAAAGGAATTATTTTTAAAGACTAAACATTTTATTTACTTTATCGTACTTGTATTTTAAACCTATAAGTCTTTTAAAAGATCAGAATATAAAAATAACTTCTATGGATATAATAACATTAAATAAATGGGCATAGTTTAAACATTTTGAAAAAGAATAAATCAATAGGCCTCTCCAACTTTCATCTACAAACAAGCATTGAAATAAGAATTTTCTACTTGTGGACATATTTTCAATAAATGATCATTTGTTCCTGAAATGATCGTTTCATTCTATGGAATTTCTGAATTGTCTTTAGTAAGTTACAATTTTCTATTCAGCTATGAGTATTCACAGATGGGTAGATCAATAAAAATCAGACTGGCCAAATAGAAGCTGACCTATTATCCATAGCAGAATATGGAAATTTAAAAAATCCTTCAAGCAGAGTCATGCTATCCCTTCTTTTCTCAGGAATAAACAGTATTTTATTTGTGTAAAATTATCAGCTTTTAATGTACAAATCAAGTGTACGATACATGAAATTAAAGCAATTATGAAATATGCACTTATTTTCACTTATTTTAAGAGTTAATGGTTGCATCAATGTGGTATAATATCACAGAGTTAAAACAAAGAGATAAACCTTGACAACATTGATTCGAGAGAAGTCTGGAATGAGTTCTATTCCCATTTTCCTCACTGGCACAAACAGTCATCCAGTCTTATTCCTTAAATTCTGACCAGGACATGACACATAGGTTAATAACATCTCACAAACATCACCTTAAGTCACATTCTCTAGGCGTATCCTCTAGGGACGATACCAACTTACTTCGATAATACTGATTTCTGGCCAGCAGGCAACCAATGGAGGGAACCGACGCCATTCTTCTCCCTGTAAACAAGCACCGGTGAGAGACTCTAGAACAGTGACAGGGGAAGAGAGGACATTAATCACATGGGACTTCTTTTCTTTTTTTCCATATATATATATATATATATATATATTTTTTTTTTTTTTTTTGCAAAGCAACACAATTTACTGTGTAATAAATATCCGACAAGAAAAAGTTTACACAAAACCGTAATCAAATATACTACAATAAGCCAGAAAATGCAATGTGTATATTTGTTTGGAAAAGCAAGAAATACTAGATATCCAACTACAAACAATGCCCACAACTTATTCCATCTGAAACAAACCTAAAAGTTAGAGTAAAAGTGTCAACACAGACACGAAATAGTCACTCACCTATTTTCTCCAATTTGTTCTTTTGAAATAAACGTGTTTTCAGGTTTCCTGAGAAAACACACACGGAAAGAATGGTAGTGATCCAGGAGGGACTGAGGACCTCAGGCCAAGAGCACTCTGCAGGGAAGGTGGGTGTGCTCTGGGACCCCCGGGAACACCTTATATTTGGAAGGCTGAAACCTGAGCTGTGGCACAACAGAGGGAGGCGAAGCTCTCTGCCTGTCTGCCCTTGACCACGTCAGTGTGCCAACTGGGGCTGCAGGCAGCAGGGACTGACTCTGTAAGGTCATAGCTCATGACTGCTGGTCTCTGCGGGGCAAGAGGTGATGGCCGTGCATCCTCTCAGCCTTCCATTTGATCTCACACTTCTGGGGGAAGCACTACCCTGGGCTTTGCAGGGGGAGGGTGGCTGTGGGGGTTATGGGGGGCCACCCCAGCCAGGCTGCAGGCCAGCTGATGGAACTGTACATGCCCACAGACACAATGATGCAAAGCAGAGCCACAAGAAGAGCTCCCCGAGTCATTGAAGTCCTATGGGACAGGATGTGCGCTGCTGAAATTTATGGGCGGTCCATTAGAAGCTCAGTGAGAATAAGACAGAAATCATGGGTAATGAGGGGAAACCAGTGACTCCATGACATGGTAGCAATATTATTCACTCATTCAAAATCTGTATTTATATTCTAATTTTACTAACGTCCATTATGGGAACTGTTTTGCCATTTCACAGACTCCGTTTGTCATGAATCAAATCCTGGCTCTGGGGCGGGGGATTCTCAATCACTCTTTCAATTTATTGAGTAGCTATTTGTTTCACCAGCTCAAACCACACAAAATTATTTGTGCCAGCTAGGTTCAAATACATTCAAAACACTGATTTTAGTATGCCACATTGGTTCTTTTTAAATGTCTGGTCCACCTGGTTATGGCTCCTTTATGTTGCTAACATTACTTACTTAACGCCTTTTCTCTTTCTGTCTTGGTTAGTTTTGCTAGGAGTTTCCCTATTAATTGGATCTGCCAAACAACTGTTTGTTCTTTTCTTTGTTTCTTGATTTTATATTTCATTATTTTCTTTCCTGCTTTTATTCTTCCTTTTACTTACTTTAGTATTATTCTCGTTGTCATTTATTTCAAAATATTTTGTCAACTGCCATTATGACATTTCTCGAATGTTTAATTTCAAGATGCTTTTCTTTTTCCAAATCCATAAAAATTTCAAAATCTTTTACTTTATTTCCAGACCCACTGTATTGTCAACAGAGAATGTTTCATTTTTATTCATTCTTTAAAGTCGTTTTTGGAGATGGCTTTCTGTGTATTTAAGAATAGTAGATACTCTTCATCCACCGCATGCAATCTTGATTTCGTAAGTGTCTATTAGGGCGTGTTACTTCACTTTGTTAAATTACATACTTACCGATGTGTTCCTGCTTGATCTACCAGTTTCTAGTATGACTGCATCATTGAATTCTATCACTTTCAGTTTCTTAGGTTTTGAAGCTATGTGAATAGATGTATACAGAATCACGATAGTATCTTCTCGGTAGATCTTGGCTTTTCTCTTCCTTCACCAGCACTAATGTTTTAGAAAACTTTCGCCATTTCCCCCCCTCCCCCACCTTGATTTTTTTCTTTTTCCCCCAGACTCCAACTGGTCTAGGATTAATTTTGCAGCACCGGCTGTTTTGAAAGTAACAGAAGGGTGTATTTCTTTGCATCCCTTCATTTTCAACTTGCTGGTTTGCTTCGTCGTGTAAAGCACCCTTTGGCCGTATTATTTTTTCCTAATTTTACACGCACCCTCTGTGTCACAATTATACTTGTGGTCTTTCTTAGCCTTCGGTTTCTTGATGAGTTTTGAATGTGTGTTTTCAGGTTCACTGTGCGTGGGAGTTAACTTGTCTTGTTCTCTCCCCTCTGCATCACACCCCCTGACTACACCACTGCCCCTGTCCTGGTTAGCGGTACCGAGGTTTTACCTACCTGACTCGAGTTTTTGTATTTTTCTGTTATAAAACGACTCACATTTATAGAGGTGTTTGTTTCTGTCACACATTAGTATGTGAGTTCCTCAAAGGCAGAGAATACTCTATTCATTTTTGCTTTAGCAATACCCAGCACAGAACCTGATACATGTAGTAGTTCTTGTTCTAGAAATCTGACAAAACCAACATATTCCTCCTGTGCGTGGTCATGAGGATTACACCTTTTGCTACAAATTTAAATGTCATAACAGGGCTCAGATTTCCATGCTATAACTGTGACATAATAGTAATTTTTACCCAATTGTTTTCTGACTTACTTTTTTTGAATATCTATGCATTAACTTAGTTTAACCATAGTTTCATTCAGATTTTGTCCTAGATTTAAATTATGCTGGGGTGCCTGGGTGGCTCAGTCAGTCAGGCATCCTTCTTCAGCTCAGGTCATGATCTCACAGTTCATGGGTTTGAGCCCCGCGTCGGGTTCTGTGCTTGACAGCTCGAGCCTGGAGCCTGCTTCGGATTCTGGGTCTCCCTCTCTCTCTGCCCTTCCCCCGCTCATGTCTGTCTCTCTCTGTCTCTCTCGACAATAAATAACATTAATTTCTTTTTTAAGTTATGTTAACATTTTTCTTTGATTCTACTGAGAGAATGCCCGCCCAAGTGTGAGGACACACTACAGGCCAGCATGGAAGCTGGAACTGTCATTTGCAAATTTCTGTTCAGGAAGTCGAAAGACGCTGGCAAATGACTCTTTGTAAAGGGAAGAGAAAATAGATATAAGAACAAAAAAATAAGAAGTACTAATTAAAGTCAACCGCAACCTTTGTGAAAGCTGATCTATTTATCACATGTAAGATACTATTACTCTTTCTAATTGTATTGACATTGAATGAAGCAGTAAATGGGTATCAGATTGTTGTTTTGGAGAGCATGGGAATTTACGGTAAGAAACATGATCATGCTTGTAGGTAATTTATCATGACCCTGTGCCATCACAGACAATTGACCAAGTATGCAGTATGAGATCAGTGTGTGGCCATTCTGGAAGACTTACATTGCCTATATCTAATTCCAGTCTGCAGTTACACAATATCTGAGTGTGCACAAAGATGTCAGGGATTTTAAATATGTAGTAACATCCAGAAAAATAAACATGCCATATTAAGCGTCGATTACTCTATGCTTAATAACTTGTACCTGCAAACAAACATGTGTATGAGGTGTTTAAAAAAAAAAGGCATGACAGTGTGCACTAAAATACCGTTTCAGGGGCGCCTGGGTGGCACAGTCGGTTAAGCGTCCGACTTCAGCCAGGTTACGATCTCGCGGTCCGTGAGTTCGAGCCCCACGCCGGGCTCTGGGCTGATGGCTCAGAGCCTGGAACCTGTTTCTGATTCTGTGTCTCCCTCTCTCTCTGCCCCTCCCCCGTTCATGCTCTGTCTCTCTCTGTCCCAAAAATAAATAAACGTTGAAAAAAAAAAAAAAAAGAAAACTCGAGGCTTGAAGCCACACTGCTTGCAAGAACACAAAAAATGCAGGCCTTCTCATTTTAAAAAAAAATAATAATAATAATAAATAAATAAAATACCGTTTCATTTCATAAATTTGGTGGAGAAAATGACCAATAATTAGTTACTGAATATCTCTGGGCCTTCCACATATAAAATGGAAATAAGAATATGTTAGTCTATTTGAAATCCAACGCAGTTCCAAACTATGTAATTCAATTGTTCGTTTAAATTTCATGTCTACCTGAATTACATACAGTCTATGAGGCAGTTATCATGGTTGTACAAAATAGAAACCAATTCCACGTACAAGCAGAGAAATGAGTTATTAGGAGAAGAGTCGTCAGTTCCTAAAATCAGTAGGAGACGTGGAGAGGTGTGGTCTGAAAAGCCAGGTCATCCGGTGCAATCCTGGGAGCTGGGCAGTGAAGGACCTGAGTGGGGGTACAGCAGGAGGCGTCCTCAAACTGAGTTTCCGTGGCGCGAGGACCTAGAATTGCCACAGCCACACATCCCAACAGCGGCTGGCCTTCCCCGACAATCCGTCCAAACAACAGGCACCCCAAATGCAGTGTGCCTTCTAACAAGTGCTGTGTTTAGCTCTGCACGGAGAGTGTTGGTGACTACTGCCTAACAAGGGGAACCGTCAGAACAAAGTACTTGGCACGTTCACCAGAGAATCCTACCCCCATGTGCCCCTCAGGGGGATAATGAGGGTCCGGGGCCAGGAGTGTCTTTTCTCACTGGCCCTTTGCTCATAAACTTTCCCAACAAATCCTATTTCTCAACACATACCATGAAACGTTTGCACACACTGTCCTGAGAGGTGTTTACTACCAGAAAGCGGCCCAGAAGGAATCGGGCTTAGAAGGTGGCAGGAACTAAATACTCTTCCCTTAGCTACGACCAAGTCTCCAACCCAAAGCGCCCAGTAGAACTGATCTTGTCTAAGTCTAGGTCATGTGCTGACATCCAGCTACATAGAGACACAACATATCCTTGCCGCAAAAACTCCTAACTGCACTCTAGGAACTATTCTCTCCTTTCTTTTTAGTATTTATTGGGCATGGTCCACCTAACTGAAGACTACATTTCTCAGCCTCCCTTGCAGCTAGGAATTAGTGTGGGCCAGTGAAATGTGAAAAGGGAGTGGTCCGTCCTCAAGGTCACCGCCTTAAAGACCAGTCCACTTGCCCTGGACTTCTAGCCCAGAGGTAAGAGGTCACAACTCACGGGGTGGCACAACTGTTCTTACATCAGAATGAAATGAAATTCTTACGCGGTGCATCTTGTTACTGGTATTCAATTCACACTGCACACTGACCCTTCAAATCCCTCTGACTTCTGTAGTGAGTAGTACAGAGTGCTGGATCCCCCACACGGGAGGGGTCCCCAGGTGCCACAATGCCAGGAGCAAAGACTGAGCTTACCAGCACGCTCCACTGTCCCTATTCCTAACGTGCACCTTGCTTTATGGAGCAGTTTTCATCTCACCCACCACCAGCTCTTATTTATACTGTGTACCTGACTTACAAGTCTTCCTTTTCTGCTCTCTTCCCTGACCCCTTGAAGCAAAGGAGAATTAATTTCAATGACGTCCTCGTGTCTTGTTACTACTGGGTGGGCTAATGAGTCACTTGCCAGTTACGCAAATAGTCAAACATCTATGTGTGTGTGTGTGTGTGTGTGTGTGTGTGTGTGTGTGTGTGTATTATCAATCCAGGTCTTGATACTCCTTTGCTTTGGTCCACATTCACCCTGATCAGTCTCCAAACATTAGTCACAATGTGAAAACGTGGACTGATCACTTCTTCATAAGCCCTGGTCTTGATTCTTGAGGTTTCCCCCACCGTCCGCAAAGCCACTGGGCAGGTGAGTCTTCTCTATCTGTGGTCGCCAAATCCGTGAGAGCAGTAATTAGATCCTTTCTGAGCACGATCTCACAGACAGGAGAAGATGGCTTGCATTCTTGGTGCAAAGACCATTTCTCAGTAGGCTCTATCTTTAGGATTCTCTTAGTCGCCAGTTTTCAAAAGTCGCTGTCAGTGTCGTCTTCTGATAGTAAGGCATCTAAATAGGCAAAATAACTGGCAGTACTCCCCAAGGCTCAGCACCCTGCATTCTCCAGGACTGGCAGGATGGAGTCTGGAGAGCTTGGGAGGCGACTCTCAACAGTTGCTTCATCAAATGCTTTCTTCTTCCTAAATGTTGAGATGTAGGTAAGCAAATACACCGAAAGTAATAAATATGCTAGCGCCTAAAGGCCTTGCCTTCCATTTTCTCTTGGTTTTATGCTTTGAGGCAGAGACAAATATTCATAATTATCTAAGTCAGTGTTTCTGGCTTGTGACTCCTATGCCTGCTGAGTTAGGTACTGTCTGTCCGTGATGACCAATGTGATGAGTACTTGCAGCCATAGGAAACTGTTTGGAGACATGAACACACTTTCTCTTTTGTGTCTTCCGTAGCATCTGTAAGGACAACAACAACAGCAACAAAATCATGGCATTTATTTTTTTTTAATTTTAGATTGTAGATTAGATTTTATTTAAATTTTAAATATTAGATCAAACTCCTAAACATCATTTGTCTTTGCCATAGTCTAATTGCTCTCATCTCCCACAAATCCCAAATCTAAGTACAAGGAGGCTGTGTATTTTGATATGCAAAATATCCAATACTGATATTTTGATGTTTTGATAGGATCTTTGATACCAAGATCCTAATCTGAATGCATGGAGTATCTGATGATCTGACTGTAGGTGTCTTAGGCTCTGTTCTTAGGAAAACATGTGCATCCACATACAGTTTTACTAGAGACTCCTTTCCCCCCCCAAACCCCAAAAGAATGAAAAGAGAGTGGTGAGAAAAGGTGCCCTGTGAACTTGCCTTGACAATTTCATGAAGAAAATAGGATGGCACTTCTACGTTGTTCTTAACTGAAGCAAGGCTCCAGGCCTTTGCTCTTGTACATTGATGAGTCTCTGAATGTGGGCTGCCCCAGGGGGACACGTGCCAAGGGAAGGGTGAGTGTGTGCTCAGTTGACAGAGACCCCTGGAGGACAGCTACAACTCACCAGCGGTGAGAAGTCATGGTGGCTGGTGATAAGCACCTTTGTCCTGAAGGGAATCTGGGCAGCGCGGCCAGGTCCCCAGATGCTACCCTTTGCATTGCTTGAGTCAAGTGCTTTCAAGAGTTTGGGGACACCTCTTTGCGGTCTCCAGCAGGTTTCTTTTCCTGGGAAAATTGAGGAGAGGAAGGTGAGTGGAATGCGGTGTAATCCCTGCCAACGCAGCTGGACTTCAGTCACATCAGATAGCTAGGCTCCCACCCTTTACTGTCCATCTTGCATTTCTCTGACTCTTGGCTAGCACCTCTGCTAGTCCAAATGACCTAACCTGGAAGGCTTCACAAATCTTCATCTCTGAGTTTCAAAAGCCACTGCTCATTTTGCCCTTCTTAAGCTGAGGATGTTTGTGTGGGGAAGGCACGTTCCCCAGAAAGACCTATTTTTACGACTGGCTCCTGGACCCGAGCTCATGAAATGTTCCATTTCATAAGAGTGGTTTTGCATTTCTTTGGCCTGGAGCCAAGCTGTGCCAGTTGTCTAGAGGCTTAGTCCTAACAATGTGATTTATGGTGGTCTGGGGTTTCAGTAGCTGAGGTAAATCATGCAGGGGCTATATGGCCACACGACTGATTCTCATTAAAAACCCTGGACTCCAAGGCTGAGATGAGCTTCCCTGACCGGTAACACTCCACACATGTCGTCACATCTTTACTTGGGGAATTTAGTATGTTCCAAGTGACGCTGTGGGAAGAGACTCCTGGAAGCTTATGCCTGGTTTCTCCAGACTTATACCAACCAGGGGAATTTTGGAAGTCCATCACCATCTATAGGATCCAGCTGGTTTCTAAAAGAGACTTCGTATGCTTAGAAGTAGAATTAGTATCAGCCACTCCTACCAAGGAACAATTTTAAAAGTTCAGTATCTTAGCCATTGTGTGTGGGGGCCAGTTTTGGAGGGTTTTACCTGGACTTTCCCACCAGTAACTCCTATACCAGGGGATAATGACCACTATAGTCGTTCTGCCAACCAAGGAAAGACATTGGGCCCAGTGGACAAAGCAAGTGTGGCCTGGACCTGGATCAGGGCTCTGCTAATGATCTAGGCTCTATACCATCCACTCTAACAAGGATGTCATGATGATGTTTCTTATTCCTGAGAATCAACTTCAACATAGTACTTTTGTTCAGAGGTCCTCAACATGTCTATATATTCCCATCCCATGGTGTGTGAATGGCCCTTAGGTCCCTTTGGGGAAGACCTAGGGGGCCTATTTCCAGATACACACTCCATGTTACAGGATCTTAATTCATGGAAACGCAGCCCTCCTTAGATCAATGAGTTCCAGATATGAGAACGGTCTAGGATCCAGAAACTAGAGTGCTGTTAGAATCTTTGGCTTTATCTTAATTGTACACATTAAGCCATCTTCCTGAGATTAATCACCTATATTGGCCTTAGGAACACCGTGTTATACAAGCCATCTCACTGTAGGTTAGGCTCCCTTTATGGCTACTCTGACCTTACCACCTATTCTGATATTTGCACTCACCGAGCTTCTCATGGTTAAGTACCATAACCTGGCCTCTTTTGGGGGATCTGGTTATTCCCATTGCAATTAGTGAGTCACATCTATAACATCACCTTTGATTCTGAGTCTTGAACTATAAAATCCTCACTGCGCTTCTCGGTGAATCTGGTGCTTCTCTCTCCAATGTTCTCCTTCTCATTTTGTGAAAACAGAGTATCTCCTGGAAAATGTAATCATTTTGGGTCTTCTGACCTTAAGTAGGATATCTACTCTAGCATGACCATTTCTATCTCAGCCATCTTCCACAGTGATTCTGGAATTCCTATTTACTTTGTTGTTATAGCAGCCCTAGCAAACAAATACACAGGACAACTGTTAAGATGTATACCGATGGTGAACTGGGACAGGATACCAGTGGACAGGGATGCATTAGTATCCATTGTTGCTTCCAAGAATCAGCCTGGCAACATATTGACATTGTAAGATGGTCTTTCCAGGGTGTTAGATCCTATATTGTGAGAAAAGTGACCCTTATCAATAGACTCTCCCATTAGCCACCTTGACCCAGCACCATAATGCCCAGTTCCATTTGTATTCACCGAGGTACATGTTGGAAAATCCTGCAGCTCCTTTAGAATATACTTCCTTTGCACTTAACATTACCTTCAAGCAAAAAGGGAACTCTGATTTTAATAAAGAAGAGTTGGCCGTTTCTGCAGACACAGAGGTTTTGGGACAATCTTGGCAGCTGACTATGTTTTTTGTGCATTGGCTCAGATGTCCTTATCACAAATCTCGGTGTCTGTTTTGTTTGTTTGTTTTTTGTTTTGGTTTTGGTTTTGGTTTTTGGTTTTGGGTTTTGGGTTTGTTTTTTTTTTTTTTTTGCAACTGGGACTGTTTTGTTTGTTTGTTTGTTTGTTGCTTTTGTTTTTTGTTGTTTTTTGGTTTTTGCTTTTTTGGTTTTTTTGCAACTGGGATCCTGGCCTTGAAGAAGCCAACTTACCAAGGTCGAGAATTCAATCTTCTTTCAGTTCTCACCCCCTTGGAATTAAGTCTTAGAGACCTACCCTCAGTTTTTTTCTGCCTTCTAGTTGCAGGAGAGAACAGTCCTTTTATATGCTGCCAGGTAGCCATCTGACTTCTTATCGTTCACCTTACATCAGTTAATAATCTTTGCCCTCCTTTTGCAGATTTCCTCCAATGCGTCAGTGATATTCAGCTACAGACAGCTCAGCCCATGCATGGCCTTATTAATCGCTACTTCCTCTGACCCTCTCAGACACCTGAGATGCTGCAAATGCTAACGAATCCCCTTCCACTGGTATCCTGTCCCAGTTCACCATTGGTAAGCATTTTAGCAGTTGTCCTGTGTATTTGTTTGCTAGGGCTACTGTAACAAAGTGTTAGGAACTGGGTGGATTAAACAACAAAAATGTATTTTCTCACAACTGTGGAGCTCCAAGTCTAAGACCAAGGTGTCGCCCACTTGGTTTCTTCTAAGGTCTCTCTTCTTGACCTGTAGATGGCTGTCTTCTCTCTACATCTTCACACGGGTTTCTGTATGTATCTGGGTTCCAATCATCTCTCTACCATGTTAGATTAGGGTCCCACACTAATGACCACATTTGAACTCGGTTCTTTAAAAGCCCTATCTCCAGAGTAGAATCATATTCTGAGGTCCTAGGGATTAGAACTTCAATTTCAGGGTAGGGGGACAACTGGGTGACTCAATTAGTTGAGTGTCTGACTCCTGATTTCAGCTCAAGTCATGATCTTATGGTTCCTGAGATTGAGCCCACGTCAGGCTCGGCACTGACCACAAGAAGCTTGCTTGGGATTCTCTCTCTCCCTCTCTGTCTCTGACCCTCCCCCGCTCATACCCTCTCTCCCAAAATAAATACATAAACACTAAAAAAAAGCCTTCAATTTCAAGGGAACACAGCTCAGCCCATAACAAACTGCTCAGAGCATGCTAGGTATCATTGGCACTCCACCCATCACCAATGACAGGGGCCACATTGTCAGCCAGCTGAAGGGTGATCCAGCTCCAAACTCTCAGCTCTGCTATCATACTGTCTTTGGCTGGGTTCCCTGGGAAGCAGACTCTGAGATGCACTTGGCAAGGTTTATGGGGCATGCCAGAGGGAAGCCTTGAACATCATCTGTTCAAACCATCTATCTCTTCATCAATTACATTACAGTAACGCTCAGACACCTCACTAAATAGAGGCAAGATTTCAAACACAAATTGCATGCTAAGGATCAAAATTTTAATCTTGGACATGAATTATCCATTTCATTGAATATCCTGAATTATATCAATTTTGATTCATCTTTACCCATAAATATGAGCATTATCATTGCTGGAAGGTGACACACATAGTTTCTGACATAAAATTTCACACACTGAAGTCATCTTTTCACTGATCACTTGACTAAACTGACAAAAAACAATTTCCTATTCAGAATTGAAACCAGACAAAATGAGCTTTAGAAATAGAGACACAAAATGCATTTTTAATAGCCTCTTGTAATTATCAAAGAGCCCAAATCAACCCATATTGCTACAAGCATTCGATTGTACATTATTTATCTGAAATAAAAATTGTAAATGAGATCTACATATAAAAATAAAGAGTAGTTTTAACAGTGGTGTTAGTTTATTATACTTTTCATTCTTTATGCCTAATTGAGGATATAATTTTCAAGTAGGGTGTTATTTCACTATCATCTTGTGTTTTTTTTTTCTCTTATGGAAATAAAGACTGCTGAACTTTCAGATTGAATGTTAGCGTTTATAGATAATCCAAAGCTCAAGATGGAGTTTGAACTTCAGCCCAGGGAAAGCCATGTATCTTGATGAGTTTCATCACAAGAAAGGAAGGGGAAAAATTACCTTTGGCAGAATCTTCACAAGTTATTGCCAGAAACCATAGAAAATTCACTTGTATTGCAAATCCATTATGATATTATAAAATCGGTTTTTTTATAATCAGGATCAGTAGTTCAAGGTAATTATATAGTTAACTATAGAAAGATATAAGCAATTAATGTTACATTAATCCTAGACCACTTTTCTAAAGTATTATTATGTTTATATGTATTTAAACACATATACTCAATTACAAAAACATGCAAGGAGATAGGGAATTTTAGTTGCTTCTATAGTAAATGTTTGTAAAACAACAATTTTAGTTACAATCCAAGGAAAATATTGGTAAAACATTTGCTAAAAGCAGAGTTATCTCAATATATGGCAAACCTTCATCTATGCATATATGATACTGAACTCAAAGATAAAATTGAATATTCTTTCATGATTCCACACCCATTTCAAACTATTGGTGAATGTGTACAAATATTTTGGGGTTTTATTGTTTCTTGGCTAAGCCATATTTTCCTATGTATCCCCTAATATGGGGATACATACAACCCCTATGTATTCCCTAATGTATCCCCATCTGTGGGGGGCTGGGCCCCGGCGCCAGGCTGAGACCAGGTCGAGCAACGTTCCCTGTTGACTCACGCCAACCCGGTGGTTCCCCCTCCCATTCCCCCACTTTCAAGGGCATACGAAAGCCTTGTCAAGGCTGAGAAAGTTAATTCCTGAAGCCTGTGGTCTGCAGGTGTTGGCAGTAATGCTACCTCCCTTTTTCTACCCCGAGTCAGATAGAAACAAACATGGGAATTGTGTTTTGCTAGCAATCTTATCAACAAGGTCTTGTTGTGACCCGTCTAGAAAATGCACAAGAAACACAGAACTAAATGTTTTGGTGGGCAGCGATTATGTGAAACCTGATTATTCTTAGAATGACCTGATCCATAAGAGTCTTATATTATAAAAGATTGTGTACAGCAACAATAAAGCCGTCACTTGGGCCATCAGCCCAGGGGACCCTCCTGTTCCCAAACTTTCTCTTCTCTCTTTTTTTCTTGCATTCCCCTACCCTCAGGACCCTGACCTCGGTGTTTGTCACGCCGGCCGCGACACCCATCTTCTGCTATGACCACCTTACCCTTATCCCCACTTTATTTAGAGTCATGAATATTTGGCATTTTCCTCTATTTTATCCTACCCTCCTGTTGCAACCCTGAACACATGGCAGATTCTGGACCTAGGAGCTGGGAGCGAGATAATAACACTGGCAGGCAAGTGTAAGAGTAAAAGAGTGCGACAGAAAATATAGCCATCTCTCCTGCAGTGTTTTCATTCACATTAAAGCAGGGAGAGAGGACATTCCTATTTTCGTGGAACGTGTCCATTTCTGTTGAAGCCCTAATA